TTTTTTGAGATAAGAGTCTCACACTGTCACCCAGTCTGGAGTGCAGTGGTGAGATTTCGGCTCAATGCAGCCTCCGCCTCCCGGATTCCAGTGATTCTCCAGTCTCAGCCTCCTGGGTGGCTGAGAGTATAGGTGTGCACCATCACACCCAGCTAGTTTTTGTATTTTTAGTAGAGACAGGGTTTCACCATATTGGCCAGGCTGGTCTTGACTCATGACCTCAGGTGATCTGCCTACCTTGGCTTCCTAAAGTACTAGGATTATAGGTGTGAGCCACTGCGCCCTACCAATGGTTTCATTTTTTAATTTCAATGATGCAGAAAGACTGCATCAATCACTTAAGAGCTGGAAGGGGACTAAACATAACACACTAGAGAAAAGTCATGTAATTGCTGGGCACTACTGGGCAGTCCATGTGAGGTTATGATCATAAGTTTAAAGTGTTATTAGTATCTTTTTGTGTTTTTCTTGATATTGTAATTTTATTTTCGTACTCATAATATTTCTCTTGATCTGGCTTATTTTTAAAAAATGATTGTTCAAATTTCATACATGTAAGTCTTGGTTGAGAACATGAATTGGAACTTTTTTAATGTCTTTGTTGTTACTGCTGTAAATTTATTTTAGAAAACTAGTTTTCTTCTTCTTCAGAGTCATTAGATCCCAAATTTACTTTTTAAAACATCTATGTTAATTATAAATATGCTTGCAAATACATTGATTTTCTTTTGATCATTCTTATTTTTGGAGAGCTCTGAGCTCTCCAGTGCATATTAGTAGAACTCTTTTATCATCCAGTTAATTTTCTTTATTTAAATGTAAATTGCAGTTTCACTGGCAGGGGAATGCTGAGTGTGCCCACTAAGATTTCTTTAATTCTGAGGTTTATCTACTAAAAGTTTTTTGAAAGAATTGTAATAAAGTGGTTTTCCTAGTTCTAGCACTCATCTATTTTTGTCTGCTTTTACACTCATGTTAATTTTCTTGGAAATCTTATAGAAAACCACACATTTATAATTAAATTCCATCATATAAATCCATAGTCCAAATAGTTTTCTGATTATAAAGGTAAATATTGGTGTGGTATGTTGGGGGAGATGTACTTCCAGTTTCTCTGTGATAAAGAAGACCTATGAAATGTCAGTCTTTTCATACATATCCACTTTTTCCTTTCATATATATCACACATAGACATCAAACAGGGGAGCAAATAAAATTACTCATAACTTATGCTCAAAGCATAAGTAGGAGACAAAATAATAACAACACGAACTTTGATACACATATAAGTAGAAAAATAAACATCAAAACCCAGCAGAGTCTTGAGTCGTCACCAAAACAGAAAGGTAAATGATGATTGGTAGGAGACAGTGAAGAGGAAGTGGGCGTCCATTAGTGCTGGAACACAGAAGAAATCTTTCTCACCCGAGAAAGTGTGACACGTATGCTAATTTAAGAATACTGAAAACAAGTCTGAAACATGAATCAGACCACTGGCAACTAGGAAATCTTTTGACAGAGAGATGAAAACATTTCATGAGAATATTATCCTGGGATGCTTGGTGTTTAGCAGAAAAAAAGAAAGAAACCACAGTAAAGAACCACACTCCTGTGAAAGAATAAATCCTCCCCTAGCCATAAAAGGGGTCCATTTGGTATAGTAACTGCACTTCACTTAACCAACAGAAAAGCACACCTCTGAATGTTGGAAAACTATTAAACCCCTATCTCACATCATTCCTTTTACTGGCTGGTGCAGAAAAATATGAAATAGTTAGAAAGGTACTGAACACCAGGCAATATTAATAAATTGCAGTAGTAGAAGAAAACAGACCATGAAAATTTAAACAATCTTTCTCAACTTCCAACTATGAAGCAGAAAAACCTTTAGCATGACAATTCTACCTGATTAAAATATGCTTAAACAGAAATACACTGATATAAAAGGCAACACATTTCAAACAAAAATTTTTAAAAATCAAAATGAAAAGTGAAGAAAAAAGAAAGACATTGAGGAAAAAACAAAATTATTTCAGAAATATTAACTTAAAAGATTCATAAGAAAGGATGGATTTGATAGAAAAATAGTCAAAGCAATTTAATATATGAATCAGTAGTTAAAAGTAGAAATACTAAATAAAAATGAATGTGGCTATAAAAAATGATAGCTACATAAACTAAGCAAAAGTTATTCAACATATATTTAATTAGAGAGACTAGTAAAAAAAATCATGGAAAATAACTAATATGTAAAACATGGAGTTAAAAATGTTTTTAAATAAAAGAAATTCTGCACTGACTTTGAAAATTCTGTGTACTTGGGAATAACTGAAATATTTCAGCCGATTCTGAGAATATTCTAAGTAATAGAATGTAAAGGTAAAGAAAAAATAATTTTGACTTTATAGATATATAACTCACTATTAGAAAATGCAACAATTTTAAACAACTCAAGAAAGTTTGAACTAAAATTTTTATATTTGACCAATCTGTATCATATGAAGTCTACAAAAAGATAGCTTAAGACCTGAAAAGACTCAGGAACACTCTGCCTTGAGCCTTGTGAGGATGAGCTTACTCCATCGCAGGTTACCTGGAGGTATCAAAAAATAAAAATAAAAAAGTGGTCGGGGCAGGTGGGGGCTGATAATAAATATTAAACTTTTAGAATTTTAAGTATTAATCTAAATCAAAGTGGGCTATAGGTAAATGTTGTGTATTTTATGTATAAAGTAGAAATTATATAGCCCTCAAATTGGGTGAGAAATAAGAGAGAAAGAAGGGAAAGTAGGATGAATTTTTGGATATGGCACAAAGAATGGTATACTGGAGTGGGCTCAGATGAGTTTGAAAGAAGTGATTATGCAAATCTGTGTTTCTGACCCTGAATGCATTTAGTGACATCATGTTGGTTGCTTGACACTGGCCATAGTAGGAATATTTCCATCATTGAAATCAACACACCATAGCTTTTTCTCTCCCAACTCCTGTGAATATCAGTTGGTAAAGATTTGCAAGTATTCCACTGTGCATAGATATTAGGCAGGTAATAATAAAAAAGAATTTAAAATTAATAAACCAAATAATATGTTCAGGTTAAAAAAAAAGAAGAAAAGAAGAAAAAGGAAAAGAAGGAAGAAGAGAAGAAACAGAAAGAGAAAGAGAGAAAGACCAAGAGAAATATAAAAGTCATTAATATAAAGGTAATAACTAGTTAAAACTACAAATCCTCCAAATTCCAAATTAAATTTCAATATAGCAAAACAGAATCAAACATAATAAATATAACAAAATCTACATAGCTGTAATACATAAATCTTAGTTCAAATACAATTGTCACACTAGAAATACAAATAGGCTTACTAAATCTATTAACAGAAAAAGGTTTTCTGATCTGGATACAAAGAGAAGTCCAGTTCAATGCCATATAATTAGTACTGCAGATAAATTAAATAAATCTATTTAAAAAGATTTTGCAAAAGGTGTTGTGGGCAGGAATTGGGGTGGTGGCAGAATAAGTATACCAGGAAAATGCAAACATTAAGAAAAAAGTGATTTTAGTTCTGATAACAGAGAAAGAACAATTCAAGACAAAAAGCATGAAATGAGGCAACAAATGATATTTAATAATGATTAAGACTGCAATTCACAGTAGATATATAAGAATTATCTATATCTACGCCTATGCAACAAATAGCACAATAAATATAGAAAGAAAAAATATTTTTTAAATCAGGGATTAATAAAAACAAAACCACAAATAGAGATTGCAATCACTTCAAGAAAGGTCAAGCGACCTCAAACAATATCACGAATAAGGTAAATCTTGAATTTTATAATTTGATAATAAAAAACACAGTTCATAAACATACTCTGAACATTTACAAAACATGGCAACCTTTAAAATACCTCTATAATTTCTGGGAATAAGATAAAATGTCAACATTATATCATCTCAAAGCAATAAAAATTGAAGAAAAAGCATAAATGAAATTGTCCTTCTTTGTGTAATATTTTAAAATCATTATTAACCAACCTTTGTATAAATGATGACTAAAATAAAATGTAGAGAATTTCTTAAAATTAGTGATGTTGAAACCCTACAAATTACAACATTTTTGTGGTCCAACTAAAGAAGTGATCATAGGAGAATTTGTAGCCTTAAATACTTCTATAAATAAAAGCTAAATAAAATAATTGAAAACATTTCCTTCTCAAAATGTGAAATAAATGAACAAGCAAACAGATTACAAAAACGGAAAAATTTGATATAAAAAGTACAGGAAAGAATGAGATAAAAGCTAGTAAAAGGAGTAGAAATGAAAACATAAAAGGAAAAATGTAGCTTTTCAGTCAATAAATAGGCAAAAAAAAAAAATAATTCAATCAAGTAAAAACAAAGTACAAGTGTAGGGAATAACTGAAGTAAAAAAAAATAACTACAATAAAGTTAAGGAAATAAATATTACAGAATGACAATTACAAACTGATAAATAAGATAGATAGATCTATTTCACAGAAATCTATGTAAAAACATTTGAAAATCTGCGTAAGATCATTTGATAAAATGAATAATCTCTTTATAAAAATACAGTCGTGAAAATTAACCCCAGGAGGCAATGATGGTATATACATGAATTTATGCATTTGTAAATATTCATAGACCTACATATCACAATGAATAACTGAATACTCTGAATAGTCACAAAACATGGCAATATTTAAGGTCACCAATATTCTGCATAGAAGTAACAAATTTTCTGTATAGAAAAATTCCAAATAATACAAGTAGAGTTCAGCAGTACCCACTTCCCTTGAGAATAAACTGACCATAGTGACTCACTGTGAATGAATACAGTAGGTAAAGAACCAAATAATAACTTTATAGATAAAAAACGTAACAAATATTGCCTTGACCAAACAAGTAAAGTTAGCATCATCAGTGACGTCAAGTGGACTTCATGTATGATCTGAAATTCAAAATATATTACCGACATAGTAAAAGGCTTATACACTAAGAATTACAAAACTTCGATGAAAAAAATTAGAGGAGATACAAATAAATGGAAAGACATTCTGTATTCATGAATTGGAAGACTTAATTTTGTTAACGCTCTATATAATATCCAAAGCTATCTATAGATTCAATGTGTTTTCTGTCATAATGTCAATGACATTTTTCATAGTGATAGAAAAGTAATTCTAAAATGCATACGGAAGCACAAAAGATGCTAGATAGGCAAAGCAATCTTGAGAAAGAAAAACAAAGCTGAAAGTATCACAATTCTGACTTCAAAATATATTCCAAAGCAACAGTAATAAAAGTAGCATGATAATGGCATAAAACCAGACATATGGATCAATGGAACAGAATAGAACTGAAATCTAAGAAATAAACCTCACCCTAATTCTATCAATTGATCTTTGACAAGGATGACGCTAAGAATACACGATGAGGAAAGAATAGTATCTTCAACAAATGGCCATGGGAAAACTGTATATCTACACAAAAATAAGGAAATTGGGCTACTTTTTTGCATTATACACAAAAGTCAGGTCAAAATTTATTAAAGATTTAAACAGAAAGCTTAAAAGTCGAAAAATCTTAGAATAAGAAGAGAAAAAGATTTATGGCATTGGTCCAGACAATAATTTCTTGAATATGAGACAAAGAGAACAAGAAGCTAAAGCAAAAAAAAAGACACTGGATCTATATCAAACCAGAAGTCATCTGCAAAGCAAAGGAAACAATAAACAAAGCAAAGGCAATTGCCAGAGTGGGAAAAAAAATATTTGCAAGTCGTATATCTGATAAAGAGTTAACACTTACAACTGCTACAAAGAGAATAAAATACCTATGAAAACAACTTACAAAGGATTTGAAGGATCTCTTCAAGGAGAACTACAAATCACTGTGCAAGGAAATAAGAGAGGATAGAAACAAATGGCAAATATTTCATGCTCATGGATAGGAAGAATCAATATTTTAAAAATGGCCATACTGCCTAAAGTAATTTATAGATTTGATGCTATTCTCATCAAGCTACCAATGACTTTCTTCACATAATTAGAAAAAACTACTTTAAATTTCATATGGAACCAAAAAGCCTATATAGCCAATGAACAAAATTAAAAGCAAATGAACAAACCTGAAGGCATCACCCTATCTGACTTCAAACTATACTACGAGGCTACAGTAACCAAAACAGCATGGTACTACTATCAAAACAGATATATAGTCCAATGGAACAGAACAGAGACCTCAGAAATAACATCACACATCTACAACTATCCAATCTTCAACAAACCTGACAAAAGCAAGCAATGGGGAGAGGATTCCCTATTCCACAAATGGTGCTGTGAAAACTGGCTAGCCATATACAGAACACTGAAACTGAACCCCTTCCTTAAAATTTATACAAACAATAACTCAAGATGGATGAAATACTTAAATGTAAAACCCCAAATCATAAAAACTGTCGAAGAAAACCTAGGCAATACCATTCAGGACACAAGCACGGGAAAAAGACTTCATGATGGAAATACCAAGAGCAGTTGCAACAAAAGCCAAAATTGATAAATGGGATTAAACTAAAGAACTTCAGCACAGTAAAAGAAACTAGCATCAGGGTGAACAGGCAACCTACAGAATGGGAGAAAATTTTTGCAATCTACCCACTGACAAATGTCTAATATCCAGTATCTACTAAGAACTAAAACAAATTTACAAGAAAAGAACAAACAATCCCATGAAAATATGTGCAAAGGATATGAATAGATGCATCTTAGAAGACATTTATGTAGCCAACAAACATGTGCAAAAAAGAGCACATCAAAACCACAATGAGATACTATCTCACACCAGTGAGAATAATGGTTATTAAAAATTCGGAAAACAATAGATGTTGGTGGGGCTGTGGAGAAATAGAAATGCATCAACAATGTTGGTGGGAGTGTACATTAGTTTAACCATTGTGAAAGACAGCGTAGAAATTACTCAAGTATCTAGAACCAGAAATACCACTCTACTGGGCAATCCCATTACTGGATATATGCCCAATGGATTATAAATTATTCTACTATAAAGACACATGCACACATGTGTTTATTGCAGCACTATTTACAATAGCAAAGACTTAGAACCAACCCAAATGCCTATCAATGATAGGCTGGATAAAAAAAATGTGGCACATATACACCATAGCATACTGTGCAACCATAAGAAGAATGAAATCATGTCCTTTGCAGGGACATGGATGAAGCTGGAAGCTATCATTCTCAGCAAACTAACACAGGAACAGAAAACCAAACACGTGTTTTTACTCATAAGTGGAAGTTGAACAATGAGAACACGTGGACACAGGGAAGGGAACAAAACACACCAGGGCCTATTGTGGGGTAGATGGAAAGGGGAGAGAGAGTATTAGAACAAATATCTAATGCATGCAGGACATAAAATCTGGAAGATGTTTTGATAGGTACAGCAAACTACCATGACACATGTATACCTATGTAACAAACCTGCACATTCTGCACATGTATACTGGAACTTAAAGTAAAAGAAAAGAGAGAGAGAGAGAGAAAGAGAAAAGAGT